TGCGCGTGGAATTGCCGCAATCCTCGTATCTTAATCAGTCTGCACAAATGAGCCACAAATTCACGTAAGCACCAGCGAAGCGTCTAATTAATGCAGTGCAGCACACGCTACGCACAAAGGCCCCATACACACACAGCCAAGTGCTCACGTTTTCCCCTTCATACGGCATTCGTACCCACGTTCGGCTATTAAACGAGTCGGGTTTGTTACCAACGAGAGTGCGAGCAATAAATACAAGCTCACGCCAACCCTGATTGTTGTGCACAAGCGATCGTGGCTACTGATTGCATCGTATGCATACATCGCGAATGTGACGACAGTGCCGTCGCGTGACGTGCAGATCCCATCCTAAGTAATGCAATTAAAACTAAACTACTAACTAAACTCCTCTTTTCCGAACATAGATGGACTCGTCCAGCTAACGTTAAAAAAACCGCCACTTTTTTCAAAATTTCTTGCTGTGGTTTTCACACCTGATGATGATTGCTTGTGTTGCAGTCGAAACGTCGTGATAATTTAATTGTTTTATATTTGTATTATTTTATTGTTTCCTTTCCACGTGACTTTACCGAAATAACCAAGAATATGAATCCCTGCAGTCACGAAAGATTTAAATAAAAACTTAAAATACGAACTAAACTATTTTTTTTTTATTTACCAGGTAAGGCCCACTGAGCTATGTAGCTCTTTTGCAGAAGCGACCTGGCCACAAATGATAGCGCAACGAAGTGGCTTATTGTGTGGAAATAACAGCCAAATATTCTAAACGCGTGTTTCTAAATGTGGAGGGAAAAATCGGAGGACCCGGAGAAAAATCCACGCCACCACGGGAAGAACACGCAAACTCCAAATATACCGGCATCAGGGTCGGGATCGAACCCATGACTTCCTGGACACCAGGCAAGGTAGTCAACATCTCACCACCGGGGTGCCCCAATGAACAGCCGTACAATTACGTGGACTGTGTTACCGTGTATACAAGGTGGATGCGGTGGCACCATAGCAGTTTGCCACCGTGGATGTTTGTCATCGTGGCTGTTTGGCACTGCGGCTGGTTGGCACGGTAGCTGTTCGTCACTGTGGCATAACGATGGTGTTCAGCGATGGGTTTCGCCCGCAGTTTAAAATTGTTGGTCTGAGCTCGGGAAAAGTCGGCAGCTGTGGTGTGAAGTGAACTGAGAAAAAATTGTACGATCACTAATTTACGATTGAAGCAAGGATCAAGGAGTTTCTTACTATGGTTATCACCGTTAAATGGTGCATTGGCCATGTGGCTATCCGTTGTATTAAATTCCGTTGTGTTTGTGCAGCGAGAAGATGGAGAAAATTGTGAAAATTGTTATTTGCAAAAGGAAGACTATATTTCATATATACTGTGTACCGAAAAGCAAAATGAGTAAAATTCACATTATTGTAAATTCCACGCATTTAAAACTCCTCTTAATCAACAAAGGCTCTAAGAGTTTACATTAATGTTTTTTTTTTCAATTAAAGATCTTAAATTACAAATTATACGACTGTGTATATGGTCAGTCATAAAACGTATCATTAATGACGCAGTTTTATATTAAACCCTTGACCTACCCGTGAGACATGATTTGCAAACGAACGCTGGTGGTTCATTAGTTTGCGCTTAACGGTTTGAGTCAAGGTCAACAGGTCATCACACCCAATACCGTTGACGTGGTCACCACGTCTCCCCATCGCTTCCTTCTGCAAGGACCAAGGATTCGTTGCAAAAGTAGACAATGCAGCCACAGCGCTGCAGTCGATGTATGTATGTTCAACTTCTTTCACACCGTACATAGCCAACCGTGCTAATCGGAGGCGCAGTGGGCACCTCTGGGTGCCACCCGAGTGGCCGTCTCAATAACATTCCCTTCTCCACCCCGTGCCAGTACCACAAAAAGACAAAGACCCCCCCGGATAACCTGTAACAAACTGTTGGGCGCAAGTGCTGTCAGCGAGCACCTATGAAGTCCAGCACAGCACACGAGGGGGTGGGTGGCCAGCACCACCCCCGGCCGCCTTTGCCTCCCCAGTGGTGATGTTTACACACCAGGTACTCGTTTGAGGCTAAAGTCGATCTAGGGGACCGGTTCAGATAATCGTCACTGGTGTTGGCCATGAGCGGGAATCGTACTCGGGTCACCGGGTTCGTAGCGCAGCGCGCTGACCGGTACGCTACCGCTCCCCATACCACACCCACAGCACACTCACTCCTCCTGCTGATGAAACCCACGTGTGTTTGCCTTGTGCGATACGGCCAGCGTGGTTTCGGGGTCTCCGGCCCGAAGACCACGAATGAGTTACCAGCTCACGTTCGGGATCCATCCCTGTGCCCGAGGCAGGTTCGCCAGAGACTTCAAATGGCATTGTTCCGAAGAGCTCACGAGGTGTGATTAGCGCGCATTGATGATGGACTGGGCTCATAAGAGTGCGCGATAAGAAATGCTCAGACTAACTTACTCGCTCTACACTACCACCTTGCCACATTCTCTTGCATAACGTTAATAGCATCCTCCCCATGAACCTGTATTCCAGGATATTTGTTTCGAGTAGCCTTGCTGACGTGCCATATATCTCTCTCTTGACCTGCGTATCACGGCAGACACCACTCCGGCCCCAAACACCCATACTTCAACACTAGCTTTGAGGCTTCTACTCGTGTAAATTGGCTTGCTCAGTCCATAAACAAACGTTCCCTGCTAATGCAACGCAGCTCTCGACCCCCTTCTCACAACCACCTCTTGTGCACTTTACTACGGCACCGTTGCGCATTGTAACTTGCTGACCCGCCCGTGCCGGACAGCTGTAAAAAAACAGCTTCATAGCTCATTGGATTCAAATACGGATTCTGATATTACTATCTTAGCATGTGGAGCGGTGGCACAGTGGTTGGCATCGCAGCGCTATGAACCTGATGACCTGAGGTCAATTCCCGGTCCAGGCTAAAAATCAGTGGCGAGAGATATCTAAATCATGGGCCCTCCATTTGCACAACCCGCACTGACCAGCGTGGTGACGCACGATCTAACAAACCCCACGACCAACACGATGTGGGAAAGCCTTCACCCGGCAGTGGATTGACCAAGAGCTGCGATTTATGATCGTCTCTCAGCGGGAATAAGGATTGAAAAACTACCCAAACACACAATTTCCTCTCTCGCATCAATATTCTTGTCCCCTGCTGGTACCGGTGATAATGGTGAACTGAAGAACTGAAACGAACTTAACTTGTGTCAAGCTCAAGTTGTCACCACAGTGGCCAATGTTTGATGATTTTTAAACGACACATTTTACCTCTCTGGAAGAGGGAGTAGACGCATTTGATAGGAGGGCGTTAAATTTGAATAATTCCAGGCTTCTCGATATTCCACACTGCATGTCCTAGATATGTCCATTATATATGTGTTAAAAAAAAAAGTTTAGTAGTTGTAATCGCGATAATGATCCCTTTCTAAACAGTCCTCGAGCTGTGTTTGATGGAAAAGAGTCACTAAATGCCACTGTGGTTATGGTGGCTGATGACCAGCCTCACCCGTGTCTCTGCGTGTGTGAGAACGCGCGGTGTTGCGACGCCTGCGATTCGCTCCGCGAGGAGTCAAACGCCACGCAGAGACAGTCTTTGGAAGTGTTAACGCTGCCTCTGTATGTTCCCTTCACTGGGTGACATTGCGTGGCATCTAAGTGAGACAAAAAATAACCTTCATTCATTGTGGCCACCCGGCCATAGCAGAAATGCAAATCTACTGCGCCAGTATTTATGAAAGCAAAAAAATGTCACCTTGCATAACTACAACAATGCACGGTGAGCTGCTAAACAAGTTTCTAGTTAATCGTTGTTTTTTTCGGTAAAGTCACGTAGAAATAAGAAAAAATAAAATTACATAATATACGACGTTATTTTTTTCTTATTCCTACGTGACTTTACCGAAAAAAAACAAAGATTAATTCCTGCAGTCACGAAAGCACCAAATCAAGTTTCTAGTTCTTTCCGTGTACCTGCAGAAGTAACATTGGGAACTGGAAATTATAGAATTACGTTAAGGGGTACGTAAAATATCACTTTGTTCTGTTGTGTGGTCATCAATTTTGCAACTGAGACTGTAAGTTGATGGAGGCAACAACGGGACAACTGAAACGACATGAACGCTATCAAATGAGGAACTATGCGACATCACGTGTGCCCTATCTCATCAAATCTCAGAAGCTCAGCAGGCTGGAGCCTGGAAATTGCTGAGATGGGTTATCACCAGGCACCAACAGGGCTCACGGCAGTTGCGTGGTCGGCAACAGACGGCAGTGTGGTAAAATCAATTGGTATACTGTACGTCTATGCTCCCTCGTCTGTGCTCCATGCACTTGCCAACCTGCAGTGACCAGCATGGTGAGGTATGGTCAAATATTCCCCGTGACCTGCATGGAAAAGGGAGGACCTTTCTCCAGCAGTGGATTGACAAAAAGAGCTGCACTTGTACACAGAAACACAGGGCTCAAGTACAGGTTACCAGTGCTGCCAGCTCAGTGCTCAGACAAGGTAAAGCACCATCCCCCTGGGTGAGTGCCGTGAGTGCTTATGTGAGTGAATGGGCGTGTGAGTGGCTGGGTGAGTGCATGAGCGATTGGCTGAGTGGCAGGTTGGGCGAGTAGGTGAGTGAGTCAGTGAGTGAGTGGCTGGGTGAATGAAGGAATGAGCATATCCTTGGGTCTTTCGGTAAAGTCACGTAAATAGGTTTCAAAGTTATTTTCTTTTAACCTATCTACGTGATTTTACCGAAAGACTCAAGAATATGAATTACTGCAGTCACGAAAGCTTTAAGTCAAGATTTAAGGAATTATCAATTGGCTGAGTGAGTGGCAGGCTGAGTGAGTGGCCGCCTCCTTCCACCTTCCAGGCCGCACCAGGCCAGGCGCGCACACGCGCGAGCGAGTGAATGCGCGCGAGCGAGCGGACGCCTGTGTGTGTGCGTGCGTGCGCCTGTGCGCGCCCATCGTACCAGGCGGCGGATTTCTCGCTCGCAGTCGCGCTTGACGCGCGCCATCTCGTCCTGGTGCAGGTGGTGGGAGGCGCGCAGCTCGGACGCCTTCTGTCGGTCGGCCTGCAGCACGGTGCCGAGCGTCTCCTCGGCGCTGCGCCGCGCCCACCTCAGCTGCTCCACCTCGCCCTGCAGTCGCGAGCGCTCCGCCTCGAAGGAGCGCCGCGCCTCCTCGCGAGCCTCGCTCAGCATCGCCGTCCGCGCCTGCGGCGCGGGGCGGGCGGGAGCCACGCGGGCCGGGGTGGGGGGTGCGGGAGAGACGCGCGGAGCCGATGGCCCGCGGTGGTGCTCCATTATTCATTTGCTCGCTCGCTCGCTCGATCGACCGACCGACCGACCGACGCGTTTGACGAACGAACGTCAGGACGTTGAGACAATTAGCGCCTCCACGCAAGGAAGGGACAAGCGGTGGCGTGCCATGCCCGAGAGAAATCACAGGCGGCAATATTCAACGCGTGAACAAATCGTTTGTGGCCAGGTCGCTTCTGAAAAAAGAGTAACATAGCTCAGTGGGCCTTACCTGGTAAAATAAAAAAGAGTTTTTAGTTCAAACGCAAGTGTAAATAAAATGCAGAACAACGATACGACTGCATGGGTTTTTGGGTACGCGCAGCGTGTTTCGCTCCACGCGCTGCGAGCTTCTTCAGCAACTGAATAATGTGACAGTTCTTGAAGAAGTGCCGCATACACACGACCTCTAAACGTGGCAGTCTCTGGTGACTGTCCATCACGATAACTTGAAGGCCACGTAAGAAATACTACAAAAGCCTGTTGTCGACAGTGAAAAGGCATTTTTTTTCAGTCAAGACTGATGCAATCATCCAAGCCCTCTCAGACCAATGCCTTAACAAAATATATATGTGTAGAAACGATGAACACCATCGACAAAGATCTGCAACAGCTACACTAAGAGTACGTGTATAAAGTAAGAAAATGTTTAATTTGAAGAGGAGTCAGGCAAGCAGGGGTATAAACATAATGAGTGAAAGCACTCAACATCTGAGATGTCATAACGACGTAGCCATCATAACCTCCAATGCGAATGAACCGCCGGCAATGTTCGAGTAACTTAACTATGAACAAAATGAATGTCGTTCACAACGATTTTGATAAACAATTGGAGATGTCTGTCAAGAGGGAAAAAATGCGCAAATGTGATAATATACCAGGTTGAGGATGGATGTGCATATAAATAGAAACCTGGAGATACTGGTATATATAAAATCTGCGAGGTGTATGTACATATATAATCTGCAACACCACTATGAAAGATCTTATATTCTAACAGGACACAATATTTATGGCATTCAATCAAATATATTTTTTCATACATTAAAATACAAGTAATAGTTGGCCCACCTATAAACTGTAATTATGACCGTCAAAAGTATATAATTAGTAAATCATGTGCAAAAAAAATATTATTAAGTTGTTGAAAGCTAATTCATTTATGAAATCTATTAAACGAATAGGTTGTTGCAAAAAAAAATGCGATTAAATGAAGAGTGGCAACTGTTTGTTGACTATAAGGCATCGTGTTCAGATTCGTATTTATATTAAACACAAACCCGTTGATTAATTAGCATAAACATTATGTAACGTGGACTTAATAAATAAATTCACGTACGTCTACACGAGGTCTGTTAAAGAAAGGAACCCTCTCGCTCCACATACTCTGTATCTATTTCTAATAAAAGAACACTATCGGCACTTCCCACTATTACAGAAAGCTACGTGAATATTCATAATAAAGGTTTTTGGGTTAGATCGCGTTATTTATAAATGTGTCGCAACCCTCCACCACCCGACACGGCCAATCAGTAAAAAAGGTGTCACGTTAACAAAACGCCAATTAGTTACTGAAGAAGTTACTGAAGAAGTAACTGATTGGCGTTTTATTAACGTGATACATTTTTTTACTGATTGGCCGTGTCGGGTGGTGGAGGGTTGCGACACATCTATATATATAATGAGCCAAGAATGTCTGTGTGTAACGCGCGTGACGTCACTCCACGTCGACCAGCCCCCCTAATTAATAACCACGAACAGGTGGGATCCTCCACATGTACCCCCCTCCCTCGTCATTAATAATCATGAGCGGGTGGATTTTTACACTAACGCAGAAGAAGGTCGAGTGGAAATAACTTTTTTTTAACGCTAATTCGATGCAAGTATGACGTTTCTTTATTGTAAGTGATTCAAATAAATAATTATACGCAGCAAAAGTGAATTTGGTGTCTTTATTTATTTCAGCACTTGAAACAAAAGGCAAGTCTAATTTGTGCTTCTAAATTATGATAAAATAAACATTTATCCGTGCTTTTCCTGATATTGTATCTAATTCCAATTTATTTCAACCCCAGGGAGCCAAAGCAGAAGAGAATAAAGTATCAGAGCAGTGAGTTTGAACAAATTGTAGGTCAGTTAAATACAGTACTACAGTGACATGAAGTGAGATGTTTTATGACTGCGATTTTGTGCAAGATTCACTGCCATTAAATTTACACAAGATACAATTATACCCTGATCAATTTTTTCGTAAATATTATAGTTTCCATCCTAGGACGGGCAAACAAGCTAGTTTATAATAACACGATCTAACCCAAAAAAACCTTTATTATGATTAATACTGGTCGTGAAGGCCTACATGTTAAACTACGTGAATATTATCGCAATCAGGGCCAGATTAATGTTCTTGTAGGCCCGAGGCACTTCTGTTTCGTAGGCCTTCAGTGATAAGTCTCTACGGTTGGTGCTGCTGCTGCTGCCCCACATTACTGCGACTGCCGCTTTCACTCGCTTGATTGTGCGGGGGGGGAAAGAACGATTTGAAGACGTTATTGGTAATTTTGCAACGAAAAAAATGGAAAAGTTCGTCTACGGTGTAAATTTCTCTCTCACCTAATGAAAAAAAAAACGATTGACATTGACATGACTCTGCCTCTTTGTAAAAACACTGTTGCCTATCTTTGCTGTATAAATATATTTATTCAAAAAGTTATCTTGGCTACAATTTTGTTATCATTCAAGCAAAAAAAAGATGGTCAATATTTTTTGCCGTAGGCTCTTTAAGTTTCGTAGGCCCTAGGCACGGTGTCTACAATGCCTATTGTAGAGACTCTGCCTCGTGCCTACCGTGCCGATTGGATAATACGGCACCCTGATCACAATCCATCATCAAAGTCAGTTTTGTAATATTGCACGCAGCAGCAGCAGCACAGGAAATGTATCGAGACCCTCAAAGCGGTTGGCCGGTACGCATTCCGCACGGGGCGAAATAACCCTTTGCACGTTTTACAAACACGCGCCAGGCTGCCGCTTACGTATTTATTTATCTATCCGAGAGCAAACTTAGCCGAGCATCCGAATGCAGAAAGTAAACCTTTTAAGGGCGGGAAGCGTGGCGCCAATGGTAACCCTTGTGCCTCGGGAGTAAAAACCATCCCTGCGTAGAGTTTTTATTCTCTCCCCCTCTTCTGCAGGGGTTGTCTCCGGGTTCTCCGTTTTACTCGCATGAGATGAAAAACATGCACAATGTAACTCGACTCCATCAAGCATCCCGATGCTGAAAATTTACCCGCAAAAAGACTCAATTGGGATTGGGCAGGACCCTCCTTAAAAAATAGTTTTGGGCTTCAGTGAGGCTTTTCTGAGCAAACAAACGTTAAAATAATAATAATTATTATTATTATTTCAAATTACATTACCATGTGCATATGTTGAACTTATTTCGCATCGTACGGAGCCAACCGTGCTAATCGGAGGTGAGAGGGAACAAACTAAGCACAACAAGCAGTTCTAAACAAATGAGTTTTCAGTCGAAATCATTTTAAAGTGCATAGCTCAAATGGCTTCCTAATATCGGAGGAGCGTTCCAGACGGACACAGAAGCGCATCCAAAAGCGCATGAAGCACCAAGTTATCAGCCCAGGGTGGAAGAGGAGGCCTAAAATACTCTCTTATAGGGGGTCTCCACAGCTCTCTTTAGCAGGGCTGCACCTTTACCGAGCAGGCAAACATTTGTACTTGCGTGGCATACAATTCAACCCTTTCCCATTCTAAGACGTCTGCAAGTTGCAGGGTGGGTGGTGTCCTCGGAACTTGCAAGAGGCTCAGCGTTATTTTTATTTAGAGAGGCGTAGCGCCGTTGTTTTTAAAGAAATTGGACTGTACTCACCGCAGAGAACTGCAGTGACACGACCGCACTCTATGATAGCTGGCACCAAACTGTGCCACGTGCCCTCCCGCATGGCCTTATGGGAGCCTTGGTACCAAGGTTTAAGTGAATTGAAAGTGTTATGGATATCTTTTAAACCCCCTGAAATAAATACGAAATATTATTCACGTCGACATATCGGCAAGCTTATAAGTAATTATCAAGACTTCCAGCTAGACAAATGTTGGAGGTAAATACTCCTAGATGACCCTTGATCTACCCTTGTCTTCAAATTAAATCTGACCACAGAAATATGAAATGGAAGGCGTTACTCGTTTGCCAGTGGCACTCGCTGACCACGTGCAAGCACTCATCAATCATTGCCTCCTGTGTTTGAGCACTGAAGTGCAAGGTGTGTTCCAATGACACCCTCGTGTACAAAACGGCCGGCTATCGGATGTTCCGAGACGTTGTTTTGAAATTTCGGGGTCAAAATGTTGGAAATTCACAAAAGGCGCAATTTTTATTGTGGTCGCGCCATCGGCAAGAGAAACATTTTTGGTCTCAGTCGCGTTTTCCTCCGTCGTTCCGTGAGATGCAGAGCGTGACGGACGGACACCAGTGAATCATACATAATTACTTTTGGCTAACCATCGAACAAAGATGGTCGCTGAATCGCGCGCTTTCAGAAGCGCTTCTGCGGCCGTCTGGAACTCTCCTCCTTCCGATATCAGGAAGCCACCGGAGCTATGCACTTTCAAATCTCGATTGAAAAACTCATTTCTTTAGAACTGCTTTCTGTGTTTAGTTTGTTGTCCTTTCCCCAGCACCTCCGATTAGCCCGGTTGGCTACGTACGGTGCAAAAGAAGTTCAACATACATACATACATGCATAGCGAACAAGGCAGCTAACAACGCTGTGAGTGGCTTCGGGCGATCGGGGAGACAGCGCGAGAGAGCGAGAGAGAGAGAGACAGCTCGAGGCGCCCGGCGAATTGTCGCGAGCCGGTGGGAGAGCCGCCAGGCGCTCTCGGCGAATTGTCGCGAGCCGGCGGGAGAGCCGCCAGCAGGGGCGAGCGTACCTTGTCGGTGGCGCCGTCGCGCAGCGCGCTCACCGTGGCGTGCAGCCGCTGCACCTCCCCGTCCTTGATGCGCGTCAATCGCAGCAGCTCGGCCTCGTGCTGCCGCAGCAGCGCCTCGCGCGTCGCCTGGGCCTCTCGCGCGCGCTCCTCGTGAAGCCGCGTGCGCAGCTCGCTCACGGCCGCCGTGTGCCGCCGCTGCTCCTGCTCGCGCGCCGCTCGCACCTCCTGCACCTTCTCACGCTCCAGCCGGCTCACCTGTCCGTGCGTCGCAGGAACAAAGACGGAGGTGTCGCCCACCCCCACCCACCCCGTGTACAGACTTAGGTATCGCCACCTGTCCTGCTTTCCCCCAGGAACGTCCTCTCTCGTGTGAGGGCCTCCCCACAAGCATTAAGGGTCACGGGAGTTACTTGGCCAATCTCGCTGGCCAGTGCGGATTGTTGAAGGCGGGGGAGCGTAGATGTTGCAGCGAAGATGCACGGGCAAACAACGGATTTGATGTGCGGCCCGTCACGTAATCCCGAAGCAGCCTATAGCTGTGTAACATCCTGCTGTGCATGGCAGCTTAACCCTCCTTAGCTTCTGATATCTGATGGGATCGGGGATATTCCGGGCAATTTGGTCACAGGCTATGGAATGTATTCATGTGAATATCAACACACGGCAATCACAGAGGCTGCCTCGGGACTTTGCCTTCGTTGTTATTGAGCATTTCCGATACATTAACCCCGGCCATGAGAAGTGATTTTGAACGAGAGAAAAAAGCAAACTTTGCTCAGGTGTTACTCACCAAAACCACGACTCTTGCAAAGCCAATCGGCCAATCAGCTTTAACGAGGGTACAATTAAAAATAAATAAATAATGTGCGTGAATTTCCATCTCTTACTTGTAGTAAAATTAACACTCTCGGATTCAAAACTCGTGTTTTTTGCGCAATAGGAGGACAAGGCAAGACTGCCCACTGTTGCATGTTGGGCCTAAAATACTGTCGACGTTTCATGCCATTTTAGATGTCAGCGATGACATCAGGAGACTTCTGTCCTTCCGCCCTTATCTGCGGGTACAGTACCGGTACACCTCGATTCACGAAAGGGAACGCGTTATGAAAAAAAACTTGCGGAAAAAGGGAATTTCGTCAATCGGAACGGTAAGTCCCCATTCATTTAATACTAACAATTAGGGGTGTTTCATTCCGACTCCACTCCTAACCTTAAAATGCACGCCTCTATCACTTTTCGCAATTAAACAATCGCAACGAACATACGTGTTAAAAAAACGATTGAATGATAATTAATTGAAAACCAAAAATTATTAACCTTTTCAGGGACCTCAGCAACATTTCTACATATTGGAATGGCTGGAAAGGTGACGTGGAGGCGTCGCCACTGTTGCACTGCAGGGACACCGTGACGCTGCCGCGGATAGATGCCGCAGCCTCCCGGATGCTTCTTATTTATTGATCTCAGAGCGCGTGGCCGTGTGAAATTTAGTTCAAGTGAAAATTCGATTTCGTCAATCGAAAAGTGTCCACGATTTGTCGGTTGCGTTCACGCGAAATCTCGTAAACCGAACGCATCGTACGGAGCCATCCGTGCTATTCGAAGGTGAGGGGGAACAAACTAAGCACAACAAGCACTTCTAAACAAATGAGTTTTCAGTCGAAATTATTTTAAAGTGCATAGCTCAAATGGCTTCCTAATATCGGAAGAGGGTTCCAGACGGACACAGAAGCGCATCCAAAAGCGCATGAAGCACCAAGTTATCAGCCCAGGGTGGAAGAGGAGGCCTAAAATACTCTCTTATAGGGGGTTTCCACAGCTCCCTTTAGCAGGGCTGCACCTTTACCGAGCAGGCAAACATTTGTACTTACGTGGGATACAATTTAACCCTTTCCCATTCTAAGACCTCTGCAAGTTTCAGGGTGGGTGGTGTCCTGTTCACCGCTGAATCTCAGAACTTGCAAGAGGCTCAGCGTTATTTTATTTTATTGATCTCAAAGCGCGTGGCCGTGTGAAATTTAGTTCAAGTGAAAATTCGATTTCGTCAATCGAAAAGTGTCCACGATTTGTCGGTTGCGTTCACGCGAAATCTCGTAAACCGAACGTTCCGTAAATCGAGGGATAACCTGTATTCTCAGTTGACGAGAATGGATAGGATCATGGTCAGCATGGTCCCCACCAGGCCAGTCGTCACAAAGTCCGCTGCATGGATTCTGTAGGCACCCACAATCGCACGTGGAGGAAGAGCCCACTTATCGGGTAGAACTCCATGAGCCACTTCTTGCCAATTAAAGTGAACATGCCACGACAAATGTAGATAGATATTCAAGTACTGTACTCGTGTGACAATTTTTTTGACTGATTTATCCATAATAGAGGGGCTGTTTTTTTTACGTGATATTTATGCGATCTAACCAAAAAAAAGACTCCTCTACTAATTATACTATTGGTCGTGAAATCCTACATGTAAAATATTTTTATTTAGGCTTAAGGCAACCTGGGAGAGGCCCAGAATATGTACAGAAACCAATTTCCAACGGAAATTGTTAACCACTGCTACCCTCAACAGACTGTTGGGGCAAGTGCTGTTAGCGAGCACCTATGAAGGCTGGCACTGCGCACGAGGGGGTGGTGTGCCCAGGACCATGCCTAGCCGCCTTTGTCTTTCGAGTGCTGATATTTTACACACCGCACAAGGTACATATTAAAGCTGAAATGACCGAGAGAAGGCCCAGGAACACTTCACATAACCAACACCGATTTTGGCCATGGCCAGGAATTAAACTTGGGCCAACCGGTTCGTAATGCAGCGCGCCAACTAACCACTACGAAACCATTCCCCCCCCACACAAACACAGCGCTGTAGCATGTACCATCCCAATAACGTTGCATACGTCACGTTTAAATCTTCAGTCCAGCAAAAACGACGCTTGGTATTGCATGCATCCCACACACGAAACGGCAAACACCAAAACACCCCCCACAGCACTCAGAACGGTATTTCATTTTCACCGATTTTTTTTTCTGGTGGAATTCCCAAAAGGGATTGCAGATGCCGTTTTCCACACGCGTTGACGTCAAATTGCCAACGAGAATAAAGGTCGGCAAATTCACCGCCTTGAAGGCTTCGGCTTTATTGTTGCATGAAGCAACGTTATGGGCCCCGCAATGGATCCACAATACCCTCCCGAGAGTCGCTGGACATGCGAAATCAAGGAAGCTCTATTGTGAGCCACCTTAATTTATCAGCATATTTAAGTTTTGGGGTGCTTTTCTGACCCGCAATGTGTTACAATTAACAGCATTTTCAAAATATATTACCAAAGCTACAACCCACGAATGCCTTTTTGCAAACATTCTAAGCACATGTTTAGAGGTGATAGGGTAGACGAGAGACGTGTACCAATTCACGTGTCAGCCCTACCTATCAGCACCACCAGTCCCGTAGCATAGGGGTGGCTGAGCGGGGCTAGGCCCCCACTGATTAGGGCTCTGCCTCCCTCCTCAATGCTTTCATACTAAAGTCATGTTGGGCGGTGACGTGGCCCAGTGATTGCACGTCCGTATGTATGTATGTATGCACGTATGTATGATGAACTTCTTTCGCACCAGACATAGCCAACCGCGCGAATCGGAGGTGTGGGGGAAGGACAACAAACGAAACGGAAAAAATATTTCTAATGAAATGCAGAAGTAAGCGGTTCTAATCTGGCAGGCCACCCTGGATAATGTTGCGTGTGCATTAACAAGTGAACGCTACAAATCCCGTGACGTCATTCGAAGAAGAGTATGTTGAACGTCTTTCCCAACAAACTAAAACACAACAACAAACTAAACACAACAACAACAAGTCGTTCTTTTGTCCCGAGTACGCCATTGTGTGCCGGGGTCAAGGTCCATATTTGCCAAATGTTTTAAATTACTGGCAAATCGCTTCATTGGGAAATGTAGGGCCGGGCCTCCTGGAGAACAAATAAAAAAAACTGCCGTGGGAATCAGCGAGGTTTTACTTGGAAGAAAAACATTGTAAGCGCAGGAATAATATTTATAATGCAAACTGCTAATTGAACGATCGACAAAAGCAGATCTGGTCGTTACGAATTCTGTTGAGCGTTGTGTTTGAAGTTTGATTAATACTGCCTGAACATGCCCCCCCCCCCCCCGCCCTTCTTTAAAGACACTCACAATGCAAGATTGCGCATCACTGAGAATCTCAAGTTCATATCCTGGGCTCCCGTTCGCGTTAAAGCAGGGGAGGGCTTCCCCGTACGGAGGCAATGCCTCAATCTGCACAGGCGATGCAGAGAGAGAGAGAGCAACTCTCGGATAATTCCAATTGGGTCGGGACGAGAAAAGTGAAGGGAGATGTGGGAGATGGGGAGGTGAGCGGGAATCGGTGTTTACTGGTGCTGCACGAGAGACAGGAGAGACGATGCGGACAACAGATCGTGACAGTTCATTGGCCAGCTCTAGCAATCAAGCTAAAAAGCCATTGAGAGATTGTTTTTTTATTTGAAGCTTTCGTGACTGCAGGAATCCATACTCTTTGGTTCTTTCGGTAAAGTCACGTGGGTATAAAAAATAAAATAGATCACGACGTTTCGATCGCAACAACAAGCGACCGTCTTCAGGTGGTGAAGATTATTTTTTTTTATACCTACGTGACTTTACCGAAAGAACCAAAGCAACGCGAGCCCTCGTTTACACATCACCGACCACAGAGGGAGAAGGAGGGGGCGGGGGGGGCGGAAGAAATCCCACAAAGCAAACCCCCCCCCCCCCCCCCCCCCCGAGATCGACGCCGCGGCTGGGCTTGGTGGAGAGGGCGGATTGGGCTCACTGGCTCACCCAGCTGGGCAGCCTCGAGAAGAGAAGTGAACGTTTCTACAGGGGTGGGGGGAAGGAGGTGAGATGTTAATTACGGGAGGTCATGGGTTCAATCCCAAGTCTGATGCCTGGAGTTTGCATATCGCTCTCTCTCCGTGATCGCGTGGACTTGTTCTCCGCGTCCTCCGGTTTTACCCTCCACATTTAGAATCAACATTACGCGGTTTAGAGTATTTGGCTGTTATAAATTTCCACGTCCACAAAGCTACTTCGTTGACATGTCATTTGTGGCCAGGTCGCTTCCGAAAAAGAGCTGTATAGCTCAGTGGACCTCAACATGGTAAAAATAAAAAAATAAATTGTTTAGTTTTTTAGTTGAGTAATGGAGAAGATAACTAACATAAAAGAGAAGGGGGATGGGAAGGAGG